TGGGATTACAGGCGTGAGTCACTGCACCTGGCCACCTTTTTCATCTTCACTAAGCACTTGTCATGCACTTTTGCAGTTCAAGGTGTGACAGTAAAACTAGCACGAATTTCTTTACAATTTCACAAATAGAAGATTCGATCTTAGCAACCTCAGCATACAATTTTTTTTTTCTTAAGAACTTTCACCTTTTAACTTAACAGAAACACTTTACGGCTTCTCTTTGGCATATCCAAATTGCTAGCATCATTACTTTTGTGCTTTGGGGCCATTATTAAGTAAAATAAGGGTTAACACAAGCATTGCAGTACCTTGACAGTCTATCCGAAACCAAGAGGGTCATGAAGTGACTAAATGGGTGGGTAGCTTAGACAGCGTGGACACACTGGACAAAGGGAGGGTTCCCGTCCTGGGAGGGATGGAGCAGACAGCACGAGATTTCATCACGCAGAATGGTGCACGGTTTAAGACATACAAATTGTTTATTTCTGGAATTTTCCATTTAATATTTTTGGACTGTGGTTGAGGGTAACTGAAACCTCAGAAAGGAAAACTGCAGGTAAGGGTGGGGGGGGGGCTCTTGTATACATGCATGTTTCATTTCCTTTTTTCAACTAGTTCAAAAAGCATTTGTATCACTTGAATTCTCTGGGCTGTCTTCAGTCAGGATGGGCTAGTGTGACATGTTTGTGTCCCCCCCCAGAATTCATATGTTGAAATCCAATCCCCAATATCCCCAGTGTGATGCTATTTGGAGACAGGGCTTTGGGGAGGTGGTTAGGTCTTGAGGGTGGAGCTCTCATGAATAGGACTCGTGCCCTTATAAGCAGCAGCTAGCTGGCTGCTTCCCGCTATGTGAGGATAAAAGAAGTCGGGTCTGCAGCCTGCAAGAGCCCCCACCAGAGCCCAGCCGTGCTGGCATCCCGATCTCACACTTCTAACCTCCAGAACTGTGTAACTGTTTAAGCCACCCAGATAATGGTGTTTTGTTATGGCAGCCTGAGCTGACTAAGACATTAGGTTTTGCTGCAATAACAAACGACCCTCAAATCTTAGTGGCTTACAAAAACACAGGTTTATTTCCTCTTCGTGGCACGCCTCCAGGTCGCCAGGCTCTGCTCCACGTTGCTTTTCCTCCAGGACCGAGGCGAATTGAGCAGCTTCTGTCTGGAACATTGCCCAGCACCACAGAAGAGGGAAGAACACTGAGGCCCGTGCTTAGGCTTTTAAAACGTCTGCCCACGTTTCATCGGCTAAAAGCAAGCCGCATGGCTAAGCCTGGTGTCAGTAGGGCAGCACCATCGTCCTCAATCAGGGAGGGACAGGGAATATTTTGAACAGAGTACAGTCTGCCACAGATGTAGGCCCAGCAGAGAGATTGCATGGTCATAGGGCATAGCTACCAGTGTCACCAAGCATTGACAGATGCTTCCTCTGTCCTTATTCCCACCAGCTTGTGCAAGAATTGCTGGGGAGACTATTTTCACTGTGCATGCTTTTTTTTTTTTTTTTTTTTTGAGACAGAGTCTTGCTTTGTTGCCCAGGCTAGAATGAGTGCCGTGGCGTCAGCCTAGCTCACAGCAACCTCAAACTCCTGGGCTCAAGCAATCCTCCTGCCTCAGCCTCCTGAGTAGCTGGGACTACAGGCATGCGCCACCATGCCCGGCTAATTTTTTTATACATATATATATTAGTTGGCCAATTAATTTCTTTCTCTTTATAGTAGAGACGGGGTCTCGCTCTTGCTCAGGCTGGTTTCGAACTCCTGACCTCGAGCAATCCGCCCGCCTCAGCCTCCCAGAGAGCTAGGATTACAGGCGTGAGCCACCACGCCCGGCCTTGTGCACGCTTTTGTTGTATTTAAACTCCCCCCTTCCAAAAAAATGTCCCCATGTGCACATACTGTTTGGAACATCTCGGGAAGGTCCCCTCCCCCATCACCAGGCAACAAGTTTTCTTTTCTCGCAGGTAGAATAGCAGACTGATTCTGTTACTCCTCAGGGAGGTCTCTGAGATCTGCCCAGGCAAAAAGGTGGAATATTGGCATTTTGCTATGGCTCAATCTAACACTGAAATACAGGAATTTGAGGAGACAGAAGGACATGTTATAAAACAACACAGGATGAACAAAATCCAGACTGCGGGAACGCTATGGGATAAACAAACAATTGGTTTCATCAAGAAATAATTAGCATGCCACTTCATACCCACTAGAATGACTATGACCAAAATGACAGTGACAAATGTTGGCAAGGATGTGGAAAAATGGGAACCCTCATACACAGCTGGTGGGAATGTAAGATGTGAAGCCACTTTGCAAAACAGTGTGGCAGTTTCTTAAAAAATTAAGCATAGATACCATGTGACCTAGCGATTCCATTCCTAGGTATCTACTCAAGAGAAAAAATATGTACATACAAAGGCGCAGTGGCTCATCCCTGTAATCCTAGCACTCTGGGAGGCCGAGGAGGGAGGATTGCTTGAGATCAGGAGTTCGAAACCAGCCTGAGCAAGAGCGAGACCCCGTCTCTACTATAAATAGAAAGAAATTAATTGGCCAACTAATATATATAGAAAAAATTAGCCGGGCATGGTGGCGCATGCCTGTAGTCCCAGCTACTCAGGAGGCTGAGGCAGGAGGATTGCTTGAGCCCAGGAGTTTGAGGTTGCTGTGAGCTAGGCTAACGCCACGGCACTCACTCTAGCCTAGGCGACAAAGCAAGACTCTGTCTCAAAACAAAAACAAAAAATAAAGACATACATGCAGATGTTCCTAGCAGCATTATTCAGAATAGCCAAAATGTGAAAACTCAAGTGTCCATCAACTGGTGAGCAGATAAACAAAATGTGGTCTTATCCATACAATGAAATATATTTTATTTTTTGCTACAGAGTCTTGCTCTGTCACCCAGGCTAGAGTGCAGTGGCATCATCATAGTTTACTGCAACCTCAAACTCCTGGGTTCAAGTGAATCAGCCTCCAGGGTAGCTGGGACTACAGGTGCACCTCTATGCCCAGCTGATTTTTCTGTTTTTTGTAGAGACAGGGTTTTGCTCTTGCTTGGGCTGGTCTTGAACCCCTGGCCTCAAGCAATGCTTCTGCCTTGGCCGCCTACAATGCTAGGATTACAGGCATGAGCCACTGTGCCTGGCCCCATACAGTGGAATATTATTCAGCCATAAAAAGGAATGAATAAAGTACTGCTGTCTGCTTCCACATGGATGAGCCTTGAAGACATTATGCTAAGTAAAAGAAGCCAGTCACATTGTGTGATTCCACTTATATGAAATGTGCAGAAGAGGCAACTCTATAGAGACACAGAGTTGTTAGTGGTTGCCTGGGTCTGGGGGTTAGCTGTAAGTGGGCAGGAGAGCGCTTATGATGAAAATGTTCTAAAACTGTTACAACTAATTGATCACAACCAGTTACAGATTCCTTTGTTCCTTCTCCACTCCCACTGCTCCATTTGACCAGCCTTTAAAAAAAAAAATGTTCTAAAACTGGATAGTGGAGATGGTGCACAACTTGGTAAATTTACTAAAAATCTCTTGAGTTGTACACTTAGAACAGGTGAATCTTATGGTCCGTAAATTATACCTTAATAAAGTTGGTTTTAAAAAAGCAAATAATTAGCCATGGAGGAAAAGGAATGAAGGGAGAACCTGTAGATCATAAAAGGAGACTTAAAAGATACATTAACAGAGACAAAATTAAGCTGTAGTGTTAGGAGCTCACATTTGAAAACCGTTAGGTAAAGCAAGTAAGCAAGTGGCTACCATGAAAGCCAGCCTAAAGGTTGCTCGTGGTGGGGGACTCTGGGGATTGTGGTTCGGAGGGGCCTGCAAGGGATCATGGGAGGCCTCTGCCTTCTGATGGGGTGGTGGTTACGGGGATGTTTGCCTTATAATATCTCATTATGTTGTTATATAAGATGTTTTATGCAGTTTTCTGCATAAAACATTAAATCGGGGCCTTTAGTCTCTAGCACTGGAGCGCCTTTCCGCTTTGGAAGTAAAACCATCCAGGCTGTTGGCCACAGACACCCCTCCCTTGTCTTCCCTCAAATTACTGAAAGCAAAACAAAACAAAAAACCCTAAAACAAAAACAGAAAAACAAGACAGCAGTCGTGGATCTCATTCAGACGGTCGAATCCAGTTCTTGGCAAGGGGTAGGAGCAGGATTGGCGGTGCCTGGACGTTGCTTTGCGGCCTTCCTGGTGTGGGATAAAGGGAAAGTGCAACGCTTTGGCTTGTGTCTGTCTTGCCATGTCCTAAAACTTCCTCCCAAATGAGATGGAACAAACCTAATGGTTAGCAGAGAGAGGGGACCTTCTCTAATTGGGAGAATATCCTAAGACTGTAATTCCTAAATATTACTTATACCACTGAAAAATAAAAAAGCCTCCAAATGCACAGAAATCAGGACTGCCTGGGGTTCAGAATTTGGTTCCGCCCTATACTAGGACAGGTCACCTCACCTCTCTGTGCCTTAATTTCCCTATCTATAAAGTGGGATTAATAGAATCTGCTTGGTAAAGTTGTAAGTGCGGTCAGCCATCCGTAGCCACAGGTTCCAGGTACGTGGATTTAACCATCCGCAAAATGCAAATATTAGGGAAGAAACCAGTGCTAGGAAGCCCTCTCCGATTGCTGCAGGGAGGCGTTGGATGCGCGTCTGGGATCCCGCAGGTCCCCGTGCTCGCTCACCCTGGGAACACTCTGGCTGTCACTCTTCGGTAGTGGCTTCCAGGCCTCCTACTGGACAGGGAGCCTGGGGAGGGCAGGGACGCCGGCTTCCCTGATCACTGCTCTGCGCCGAGTCCCCCAGCACAGGACTGTGCACACAGTCGGCACTCTGAACAAGCACTGCGGCAATCTGCTGCTTCTTACCCTGGCGGTGGGTCTAGAGGTCGTGCCGCGTCCCCGCGCGGCGCCGTGGAACTTCCGCCCTGGAGTGGAACACGCTGTAACAGTGCCCCCTTGTGGGCGCCCCCGTTTTAGAACCCTGGTGCGGGAGTTGCTCTCCCGCCCTAGGAAAGGGGGTCGGGCGGGACTCCCAACCCGGGTTACCCGGGTCCCCCCTGGCCCCCATGAACAACCGGGCGCGGGCCCCAGCCCCCTCCTTGGCCCGGACCTCAGCCCGGGGCAGGGCTTCGACCCCGGCCCGGACCCCAGCTCTGGTCCAGGCCTCGATCCGGGTCCGGACCCCAACTCTGGTTCAGACTTCGACCCCGGTCCGGAACCGAACTCCGGTCCAGGCATCCATCCCAGCCCGGACTCCAACTCTGGTCCAGGCAACGACCCAGGTCCAGACCCCAACTCTGATTCAGACTTCGAGCCCGGTCCGGACCCCAACTGAGGTCGAGGACTGGACCCCGGTCGGGACCCCAACCCTGATCCAGGCCGCGACCCCGGTCGGGACCCCAACTCAGGTCCAGGCCGCGACCCCGGTCAGGATCCCAACCCGACCCCAACTCTGATTCAGACTTCGAGCCCGGTCCGGACCCCAACTGAGGTCGAGGACTGGACCCCGGTCGGGACCCCAACCCTGATCCAGGCCGCGACCCCGGTCGGGACCCCAACTCAGGTCCAGGCCGCGACCCCGGTCAGGATCCCAACCCTGATCCAGGCCGCGACCCCGGTCGGGACCCCAACTCAGGTCCAGGCCGCGACCCCGGTCGGGACCCCAACCCTGATCCCGGCCGCGACCCCGGTCTGGACCCCAACTCTGGTCCAGGCCGTGAGCCCGGTCCCGACCGCGAGCCCGGTCCGGACCACGACCCCAGTCCAGACTCCGACCCGGATCCGGCCCCTGACTCCGCTCCGGACTCCCGCGCTGATCCGGACTCCCACATTAGTTCGGACTCCCATGTTGGTCCGGACCCCGACTCCGGTCCGAGCTCAGACTCCGGTCCGGGTCCCAGCCCCGGCCCGAGCGCCCGTCCCCGCCCCGGCCCGAGCGCCCGCCCCGGCCTGGGTCCTGGCCACGATCCCGGACCTGGAGTGCTTGCGGGGCCCCGCCCTGCCTTTGGATCCGGAGCCCGCTCCGGAGACGACTCTGCCGCCCGACGAGGATCTCGCCCCCGCGCCGGGGCTGAGCCAGGGCTGGTCGCCGGCCGCCAGCTCGGCCGGGCCGTGCCCGGACCCCCTTCTTCCCGCGCTCACCGCCCTGGCCGCCCGCGCGCCGGAGCGCCCCCTGGAGCCCACCCTGCGGGACCCGTCGGCCACCAAGCTGAGGCCCTTCCCCTCGCCTGGGCCGGCCCCGGCGCCCGTGCTGGAGAGCGGCTCCTTGCCCATCGCGCCCGAAATGTTCGCCTCCACCAGCGAGAACTTGCAGCTGGACAGCAGAATCCTGATTCGAGTGATCTACTGGTGAGGGGCTGCCCCACCGCTGCCCTGCTCCCCGTGGGGACAGCGCCGGGCGTTGGCGCCGGGACCTGGGGCGACTCGGGGCGAACCCGGGAGTCCCGATTCCCAGCTTGCACACTCGGCTCCCCCGCTCCTTCTCTTTGGGGCTAGAGACTCTGGATTCAAGTCCCTGCTCTCTTCTGCGCTCCACTCATTCGTGTCATTCATCCATTCATTTCCGAGCGTCCTGCGGCCCTGTGCGCGGCCTGTGGGGGACGGAGTGCTGAGCAGGGCAGCCTGCCTAGCTCCCGGGAGGCCGGGATGCAGGCCCATGAACAGCTGCATTCCCGGGAAGGGAGACGAGCTCCCCAGGGAGGAGCAGGGGTGGGGCCTTTAGACAGGGTGGTCAGGGGAGAGGAGGAGCCATGTGGGTACAGGGGGAAGAGCATTCTGCAGAGGGAGCGGCCAGTGCAAAGGCCCTGAGGCAGGGCGTGCCTGGGGTGTTGGAAGAGGAGCAGGTGAATGAAGGGGCAGTGGGAAGGATTGGGACAGAGGGGTGAGGAGGCAGATCCCAGGGTGGTGGGTGAGCCTTGGGGAGTGAGATGATGCTACTGGAAGACTCTGAGCAGGGGAGGGACACCATCTGACTCGGTGTTCATAAGGTCACCCTGGGCTTGGGAAGATACTGATGCAGTGTCTGCCCTGGTCTCTCTCTGCCTCCCTCCTCCCGGCCTCGGCCTGCAGTGGCCTCTGAAGCTATGGCCTTCGGGTAAGTAGCTTTGGCTTTGGAGGTGGGGGGAGTGTGGGGCATGAAGACTGGGAGGAGTTCCTGTGTCCCCTTCCCTGTGACCCTATGACCTCGTGACCACATAACCCCATCTCCTCCCCTCAGTACATTCTGTTGAAGAAGAATCTGGAGCAGCAGTTTCCGAATCTTCTGCTCTTTGTAAGTGTGCTGGTGGCCTGGGGGAGGGGATCAGGGCTCTGAGACCCCCCCAGGGGCTTGGAGGGGAGCTCTCAGCCTCCCCCCTGCGACCTTCTCTCCCCAGGAGGAGGACAAAGCTGCCCAGGCTACAGGGGAGTTTGAAGTGTTTGTGGAAGGGAAACTGGTCCATTCCAAGAAGGTGATTCTGAGCAAGGGTCCGGGACAGGGAGGGAGGGCGATGATGAGGTCTCAGGCTGGGGGGACATGGCTGTGCTCTTTGCCCTCTGTGCCCAGAAAGGTGATGGCTTTGTGGATGAGGCCAGGCTGCAGAAGATTGTGAACGCTATCGATGAGGAGATCAAGAAAAGGTAGCAGGCGACCAGCAGAGCGGGAGGTGAGTGGGGAGCTGTGGGGGAGGCAGGGCTTTTTTTTGGTCTCTACCAAAAAAAAGAAAAAGTAAAAAATTCAAATTAGAAAAAATAAAATTAAAAAAAATAAAGTATACCATCCGCATTTCTAGTAGATAAGTTTTATTTTTAGAGACAGGGTCTTTCTCTGTCACTGCAGGTGGGAGTGCAGTGGCATGATCATAGCTCACTGCAACCTCGAACTCCAGGGCTCAAGCGATCCTCCTGCCTCAGCCTCCTGAATAGCTGGGACTATAGGCACGCACCACCACACCTGGCTAATTTTTTGTTTTTTTGTAGAGATGGGGTCTTGCTATGTTGCCCAGGCTAGTCTCGAATTCTTGGCCTCAAGCGATCCTTCCACCTCAGCCTCCCAAAGTGCTGTAGATCTGTTTTTTTCAGCTGCCAAGCTGGGAGTGGGGTGGGAGGCAGGGGAGAGGTCTGTTTCTCGCATCTGCCAGTATGCAGAATACGGTTGTGGTGACATATGCAGTTTCCAGGGTCACAGACACGGAGGTTCAAATCCTGGGTATCAGCCACACGAGGCTGAAGTGGGGTGAGGTTAGATGTTGCGAGGTAAGGGCTTGCCAAAGGCCACCTTCAGTAAGTGACAGCTGTTGTCATTGGAACAAGTCAGGACGGTTCTGATTGCAATGAAAACTTAGCTCAAACTGGCTTTAAACCAAAAAATATTGACATATGACAATAAAGTCAAGTGTATAATTTTGTTGGCTGCAGGCATGGCTGCATCTAGGCACCAAAAGGTTGTCACTGGGAATCTGATTTTTCCTTACTTGTGAGTTCTGCTTTTTTTCCTGGGCTGGTGTCATTCTCAGGCAGGCTCCCCAACCTGGTGGCATGAATCCTGCAGAAGGTTCCCACTGACCTAGGTCTCATGTCCATCTCTGAACCAATCACTGAGTCCCAAGGGAATGTGATGCTTTCTTTGGCGAATCTTGAGCCACGTGCCTGTTCTTGGTGCTATCCTTCTGAACCATGTGGGTGCTGGGTGGGCAAGAACCCCAATTAACTACATTAAGGATCTGGAGATGGGATAATGGTAAGCCAGTACTGCCTGGGTTTGAGTCCTAGCTCTGCCATTTACTGGCTGTGTGACCTGGGGCAAACGCCTTCACCTCTCTGTGCTTCAGTTTCCTTCTCTGTAAAGCAGAGATTATAATAGCCTTTTCCCTCATTGGATTTTTTTTTTTATACAACAAATATTTTCTGAGTACCTACTATGTGCTGGGTACAGTTCTGGGCCCTGGGGATAAAGCAGTGAACAAAACAGACACAAAGCCCTGCCCTCCTGGAGCTCATGTTCTTCTAGTGGGGGAGCAGCCATAGGTGAATAGAAGGCATTTTCGAAGGTGATACATGCCAGGAAGAAAAGTGAAGCAGGGAACAGGGGTGGGGAGTGCTGGGAATTTTTTTTGCAACACTAAATGGAGTGTGCAGGGAAGGCCTCATTGAGAAGGTGGTATCTGAACACTTGAAAGAAGTGAGGGATTGAACCATGTGGATATTTGGGGAAAAGCATTCCAGATATTGGAAGCAGCACGTGCAAAGGCCCTGTGGTGGGACTGTGCTTAATGTGTTTGAAATATAGCAAGGAAACCAGAGTGGACATTGTAATCCATGGCAAACGCTAGACTAGTGAGTCCTATATAAACACTGTTACTTTTATGGAGTTGTTATCACTGTTATTGTTATTTTAAATGTTTTTCTCTGCTCTCTCCCATCTCAGGAGCCTCAGCGGGATGATGAGAAGGGCTGAAATGTTGCCAATCAGGTCCTTTTCTGATGGTGGCTGGGACTGGGGTGGGGTTGGGGAGGGGTCAAGAGAGAAATACATAGAGTCTGCCTCCCTGTGTTCTGGTCTGATTGTGTCTGCTGTCACCATGCTCACTGCTAAGGTCTGTGGAAGTCGCCTGCTACGGTGCTCCCAGCGTCTTTGACCTTCTGGACCTTTGGGGTGGGATGGAAGGGGATACAAGGCTAGTCTTGTTTTCGCAAGAAAAATTTGTGAAACTTTAATAGCCAGATAATCCAATGCTAGCTTTTTCCAGAGCAGGATAAAACAAAAAAATACCTCCACATTATATGAAATGAGTATACAACTGAGCTAAACATTGAAAAGGCTGATATACTATAGATCAACTTCACTTAAGAATTCTAACATAAAATCTTTTCTTTTTTTGGAGACAGAGTCTCACTCTTGTTGCCCTGGCTAGAGTGCTGTGGCATCAGCCTAGCTCACAGCAACCTCAAACTCCTGGGCTCAAGCGATCCTCCTGCCTCAGCCTCCCAAGTAGCTGGGACTACAGGCACGGGCCACCATGCCCGGCTTATTTTTTCTATATATTTTTAGTTGGCCAATTAATTTCTTTCTATTTTTAGTAGAGACCGGGTCTTGCTCTTTCTCAGGCTGGTCTCGAACTCCTGAGCTCAAACGATCTGCCCGCCTGGGCCTCCCAGAGTGCTAGGATTACAGGCGTGAGCCGACGCGCCGGGCCACTAACATAAAATCTTAAAATGTTAACAGAACCCGGTATCATACTAAGGAATAATGTATCATATCTAAGTAAGGGTCATTCCAAAGGATTAGTAGTAAACCTCTGAACATAATTCAACATATATCATGGGAGAAAAGAAATCCATAAACATGGAACTGACCTTTAATAAAATTCTAAAATATTCTTGAGGAAAAAAGACAATAAATAGGAATAGATGTTTACTTCTTCAACATGACACAATATATTTCAACCCCAAAGTCAGCATCATACTCAGTGGGGAAACACTAAGGCCAGAAAGACAAGGATGTCTTCTTACTTTGTTATTATTTATGTTGGACTGGAGCTTCTAGCCAAAGCAATTATACAAGAGAAAGGAATCAGAGATACTAAAACTAGAAAGGAGGAGGTAAAACCATTGCTCTTTGTAAATAATATTGTATACCAAAGACAAAGTAATACAAACAATAAGAGAATAGAGTAAGTTTAATAGAGCATTAAAAAAAATAAATAAATCAACAGCATTCAAATTTACAAATAACAAAACCTCATTCACAATAGCCATAAACAAACCAACCAAGTACCCGTGGAATATTTTAAACAGAAAGTGTGTAAGAACTATATGAAGGAAATATACAACCAGTGGTCTTTTTAGGAGCATGAAGAAAAAACAAAACCACACCCATGTGGGAGGCATGGAAAACTGAATAAGGAAGACTTCCCATCATATGGATTACGGAAGACATCCATAAACACTCTCTCACTCAAGTATATAAGTTTAATGCACTCCAAGTAAAAATACTAACAGCTTTTGTAAAACTGGACCATCAGTTGAGACATTCACAACCAGAAAAATTAAAAAACACATAGCCAGAAAAACTTGAGAGAGCAATGTGGGTGAAGAAAACACTACCAGAACCTAAAACATCCCAAAGTAATAAAAATTTTAATGTTAGCATTTAAAAGTATTCTTTCATGATTCCGGAGTGGCAAAGGCCTTTCTAACCATGAATCAAACCTTAGAGGCCACAGAGGAAAAAAAATTGAATATATACAGCTACATTAAAACCAACACACATACAAATGTTTTTGTTACAAAAAAAAAAAAAAAAAAACAACCAACACACACTTCTCTGCATGGCAAAAGGATCATAAACAGTCACAACTGAGAAACTGTATTTCCATCTCATATCACAAGGGGCTAGCAATCACTTCTTTAGTGATTGCTATATAAATAAACTTACAAGCCAATAAAAAAGTGAGTAAAGGATATGGACAGGTAGTTCACTGAGAAGCAAAAACAAAGGGCTCTTAAGAAATTTGAAACCATCTGCATCTTTGATCATAATCAGAGAAATGCAAATTAATACTACACTGAGAAACCAGTTTTCAATGTTAGATTCTCCCAAAGCCAGGTCTGGCTGGCCATGGTGTGGAGAAAGAGGCATGCTCACCATTGGCATAGCCCCCAAAGGGAGCACTCTTATATTAACTATAAAAACCACCATGATTGGGGGATAGTCATGCTTGAAGCTCTGACTCGAGGGGGGAGGGGAGACATGGGCAATATAGGTAACCTTAACATCTGTACCCCCATAATATGCTGAAATAAAAAAAAAATACCACGCATATGCCCTTGAGTCAAGAGCTTCCTTCCACTTACAGAAGTCTGCTCCATGGAGTGTGAGTAAACATGTATAAATATATAGAAAGAACCCATTTTGGAAACAACCCAGATGTCCAAAAGATGACTAAGTCATTATATGATACATCCTTATACTGAAGTTGCTTAAAAAAACAACAACAAAAAAAACCACTAACGCAGAAATCTCTCCAACAAAAGTGAAAAAACCCATGATGTTGATGGAGGTGTATAATATGCTACCTCAATTTAAAAAGGGAAAAATGCAAAATATTTAGATTGGCATTTATCCGCATATACATTGGGAAAATGTTGAAAAGCATACAGCAAAAACAAAATCAAAATCAGCAAATAAATAAATAAACTACCAAGCCACTAACAATGATACTTATTAGGAATAAGTGTTGAATTTGACAGAGGAGATGACTATCAGAGATTTCTCACAGCATCTTTGGATACTTTGTTTTTTTGAGTCTTGTGAGATTACATCTTCCAGGCTAAATCAAAAAGCTTAAAATGAACAAAAACGAATCTATTCCCACCCCTACCCAAATTCACATGGACTTGAAAACATATTTATCTAACATGTTTTTTTTTTCCATTTGAATATTTACTATTCATTTAGAGTACCCCAGAAAACACAAACATTAGTCTTATGCTAAGAGTTGTTGACGGACATGAGATGACCACAAATTCTGAAATTTCAGAAGTTCTCTCAGTAGCCTTCCAACCCTAACAACTCACGCGACTGGACTCTTAACGACGGCATTTCCTTAACCTCTTTCGTCATCTTGGGTAATTTCAACGGGTTCCCTAACTGACAGTTGTTCTCAGATCTTATCTCCGCAAAACCATCCTGTGCGGCGAAACCACCGCGAAACGTTCTCCGCAAATGCCAGGAGAGGGAATCGCTGGCAAACTAGTCAGTCAGAGAGGTCTCAGGACCGCCTCGAAAACGGGCCCGGCGTTCTCGAGTACCTGTTTCCTCTCTCCGCGTGCGCGTCCTCCCGTCAGCGGCGCCCCGATCGCCCCGTCCGCGGCCCGGCTGCCCTTCTCCCGCCTGACTGCCGACGCGTCGGCACGGGCCCCGGTCTGCCCTGTGGGTCCGCACGGCCGCCCGGCTCGCCCTCGCCGCGGCCCACTCAGTCGGCCAGAGGGCGGACGGCCGCCGAAGCGGTCAGCGCCAGCGTGAAGGCTGCGGCGTCCAGGTCCAGCTGCGGCGGGTCCGCGTCAAACGCAGCCTCCCTCGCCCTGCAGCCTTCCAGAAACAGCCTGCGGCGTTCCTGGAAGTCTCGCAGCAACGGGGCCGGGATCAGGGGGCAGTGCTCCAGGGACTCGTGGAACAGCAGCTGCTGGCGGAAGCCGGGCATCGACAGCGGGCGCGGGGCGCTGCCGGGGACGCGCCGGGGAGCAGGCTGCGGCACCCACGCCGTGGGGCGCGCGGCTGCGGCCGTCGGGCCTCCCCGGGCGCCCCGGGCCCGACTCCCGCCGCCGACTGCCGCCCGCAGGCCGTGGCTGACGCCGTTCGCTGTTCCCATCTCGGGGACGCAGCTCTCCCTCGGCAGCTCGGACATCCTGAACAGCGGAGTGCGCTCCGCCGCTGCCCGCGCGCTCCCACAGGAACCGGAATAACTGTCTGCGACGTTATAGAAGGGGTGTGCGCATGCGTGGGTCTCCGCGTGCGCGCAAACGCCGTGCGTGAGAAACGGCGAGCGCATGCGTGGGCACGGTGCGCAATCCCCGAGCGCCCCCTAGCGGTCCTGGGTGCCTTTACGGCTGTAGCCGCCTTCAGTCATCCGAGTGCGTCAAGCTGCGCTGTAAATTGCAAACAGTTCGGTGTTCATGTAGAGTTCCTTTTAAGATCACTTTCCAGCTCCTATCTTAATGACACTCTGATGTTTTAATTCTGTAAACTTGAAACAATCCTTCTTTCACTTGGGGAAACTCATCCCTCCTTTCCTAAAATTTCTAAAGATTGGGTCTCCTCCCTCATAGGCACCTTCTTTGCCTACTCTTTAAAAAACGTTATTGTTGTAGGGGTCTCATGTGGTTATCCAGTTTCCCAGCACTATTTTTTGAAGAGATTGTCCTTTTCCCAATGTGTGTTCTTGGTACAGCTATGTGTGGATTTATTTCTGTGTTCTCTGTTCCATTGATCTATGTGTTTATTTATGCCAGCACCATGCTGTTTTTGGTACAAGCAACCTTAAGTGTCCATCAACAGATGAATGGGTAAAGAAAATGTGATATATACACAATGGGATACTATTTAGCCATAAAAATGAATGAAATCCTCTCATTTGTGACAGAATGGCTAAACTTGGAGGACCTGATGTTAAGTGAAATTAGCCAGGCACAGAAAGGCAAATATCATGTGATCTCACTTATTTGTGGGATCTAAGAATGCTGATGTCCCAGAAGCATAGAATATAGTCCTGGTTACCAGGGGCTCGGGAGGGAGAGTGGAAGATGGGGAGAGATTGGTCAAAGTACAGTTAGAAGGAATAAGTTCTGGTTCCTATTGCACAATAGGGTGACTATAGTTAACAATATTGTATTGTATATTTCAAAAGAACTAGAAGGGAGGATTTTGAATGTTCTTAGCACGAAGAAATGATAAATGTTTGAGGTGACAGATATGCTAAATACCCTGATTTGATCATTACACAATGTATAGATGTATTAAAACATCACACTGTACACCATAAATATGTACAATTATGTGTCGAGTAAAAATAAAACAAAAAGGGTTATTATGAAGGTTCACTGCATTAGAATGTGTAAAGAACTTAGAATAATGCCTGATACAAAGTCAGCATTTTATATTAGCTATAATTTAAAAAGATAAAAAAAAGTTGTTTCTCCTCTAGCTACACTCCTAGGCTGATGTTCTCTGTGGCAGACAGACTGTAAAGTGACCCCCAGTGATCTCTGCCACCTGGTGTTCATGCCTTTTGGTAATTCTCTCCCCTTTGTGTGTGTATTGTAAAATTTAAAACTCATACCTCTAATCTCAGCACCCTGAGAGGCTGAGGTGGGAGAATTGCTTGAGGCTAGGAGTTTGAGACTAGCCTGGGCAACACAGTGAGACCCTGTTTCTACAGAAACTATAAAATTTGCCTGGTGCAGGGGCTTGCGCCTGTAATCCCAGCTACTTGGGAGGCTGACTTGGGAGAATCGCTTGAGCCTGGGAGTTTCAGCCTGGGTGAGAGAGTGAGCCTCTGTCTCTCTCTCTAAAAAACAAAAATGATTACAGTTCCAGTTGCTTTTTTCTTGCCTGTTTCATTGTCTGTTGCTTCCTTTTTCTCAGGGAGGCTTGTCACCCTTTGGGATTCCGTTCACCTGTTGCCTTGTGACCTCAGCTCTCTGATGAGCTAAAAATTATTATTTTATAGATTCTCCGGTTTTTATTATTGTAATTGTGGAATTTTTTTTTTTTTTAAGACAGAATCTTGCTCTGTTGCCTGGGCTAGAGTGCCGTGGTATCAGCCTAGCTCACAGCAACGTCAAAATCCTGGGCTCAAGGGATGCTCCTGCCTCAAAAAAAAAAAAAAAAAAAAAAAAAAAAAAAAAAAGCCAAGAGAGCCAGTAGCACATTAGAAGAATAATACTTCCTTAGTAAATTTGAAGAATGCAAAGATCATGCATTACCAATAACGCTAAATATAATTCACCGTGGTGGATATGAAATAAACCTAGGATGACATTTATAGATTCTGAAAAGCCCTTTGACAAAACTCAACAACCATTCTTGATAAAACACACATACACACACAAATAATAATAGATGGATATGTAAAGAATTTCCACAAAATCAGGAACCAGACAAAGATGCTTCACTGTCATTCTCTATTATTTTACACTACACAGAAGGTATTAGTCAAGAACTAATAAAGAGAAAGAAATTAGAGGTATTAAAAATTATAAAAGAGGCAAAACTATCACTATTTGCACATAACTAATTCCTCAACTTAAGAGAATCATTTGAAAAGTTAAACAGTAAGAGAACTCAGTACAATAAAACAGACTATCAAATAAATATGCAGAAATCAATTATTTTCAAATGCAGGCAAGCCTCTAGAAAATAGAAATATCTTTATGTACTACAGAAAAAGTACAAAAGAAAAGGAATAAATGACTAGACCTGAGAAAGACCTAACTTAAGGCCACTAATGTAAGGACAAACATTAATGCTCTTCTGAAGGATACAAAGGAAGTCTTTTGAAAAATAGATCATTTGGAAAGGAAGAAGGTATCTTATATTCAGTAGTTATCCTTGAGTTAATTAAGTGTAACATGATTTTAATAAAAAGGTTTTGTTTGAAATAAGGTAAGATAACTTTGAGGTTGATATAGTAATATAATGGACAAGAATAACAAAAAAAGCCAGAAACTCTGAAAAAGAAGTATAATGAGGCCTGATAGTATTACCAGATTTTGAACTAGTACAATCTAAAAGTTTCTATATGAAAAGGCATCTTACAACATTTGGGGGATGGACACGCTTGAAGCTCTTACTCGAGGGGGGAGGGGAGCATGGGCAATATATATAACCTTAACACTTATACCCCCTAATACGCTAAAATAAAAAAAAAAAAAGAAAAGAAAAGGCATCTTAAAATAAAACTAGTGGAGAAAAGACTGACCACTTAGTAACTGGTATTAGAACAACCACGCAGCCATCTTTAAAAAACAAAACAAAACTGAATCTTTGCTTTATATTATACCTATAAATTCCAAATGATTCAAAGATTCAAATTTGAACAATGAAACGACATCCACACACACCTACACACACTGAGAAACCTTGAGATTCAAAATCCTGCAGGTTTAACTTAATGGAAAACAGGAAACAAATAAAAATCCCTACACCCAAAAGGCTTTCAGAAAAGCCAGAGACAGGCTGGCCATGGTGGCTCATGCCTGTAGTACCAGGGAGAATCACTTAAGCCCAAGAGTTGGAGTCTGCAGTGAACTGTGATCATGCCATTGTACTCCTGACTGAGTGGCAGAGCAAGACCCCATCTCTGAAAAAAGAAACAGACAAGAAAGAAAAGCCAAATGACAAACTGGGGAAAAATATATTCATAACTCATATCACAAGCCACTATCACGCTGCATTTCACTAACACATAACTAGCTATCAGAGTCAATAAAGAAAGGACACAATTATTCAGGAGAGAAATGGATAAAGGCTATGAACAGAGAATGGTTAATGGAAAAGGGGATATATTTGATTCTTTAAATGAAAAGATATCTGTTTTCACTCATAGTAAGATAAAAGCAAATTAAAACTGATATACCATTTTTTTTCAACTATCATATTGGTAAAATCCAGATATTTGAGGCTCTTTTGTGTTGACCACATAAATATCCATGTTCATCAAATGCTGGTGGGAATATAAAGCAGGTACACGTATGGAAGGCAATTTAGCAGTATCTATAAAATTTCAAATGAGTACCTTTAGCCCAGAATTCCCACTTCTGGGAATTTATCCTACAGATATTACATATAACAAAAAAATCTAAGAAGCTAAGACACATCATTAGTTTTATGAAAACCCAAGGACAAAATGCGATATTACACCATCAGTTGTAAGATATAACCCAATTTCAGAAATGTTAAAATATGAAAAGTGCATTTAGAACCAAAGCAATACTGTATTTGTGCACATGCCAAATGATATGCACACAAGATGGACTGTTCTATTTTTTTTTACCCATAGAAAAAGAGGCAAAATAACCTAAATGTCCATCAATATGTTAAGTAAATTACAACATAACTACAGAATGGAACAAAAAGCAGCTCTAAAAAGGAATGGGTAAATACAGTGGGTTGAAACACTCTTTAAGATATGTTCTTAATGAAAAAGCAATGTACCAACCAGTAAATATACCAACTTTTGTGATTAAATGGAACAAACCAAGATGTGCATTTGCTTGTGTATACCTAAGGAAACTAGAAGGGCAGAAGGGGAACTGTTGTGGTACTGGGTAAAGGAGGACAAGAATGGAAGACTTTTCACAGTATATTTTATATATTTTTGGCTTGTGAATACATTATATAGCAAAAAAAAAAAAAAAACCACTTTAAATAAAAATAAAAAAATAAAAAATTGAAAAAAATCCAGAAATTTGGTATTTCTGAAAACATGACTTGTCATGTAATATATACAATATTTACTTTGCTTGCCACTTGAAATGCCTCAGAAAACACAAAACCAATGTGACACTAAAACTTCTGTTGAAACTAACATGAAGAGAGCACATATTCTGACAATTTCAAGTTCTGCCCATAGCCGTCAAGTCTCAGCTGTAATTCTTTATTCTTTTCATGTAGTATTTCTTTATTCTTCATTTCTTTCATCATCACTGGCTGTATTATTGGTGGTTTTTCTTCATCGAGTCTCAATTTCATAAAACCACTCTATACTTTTGAATGAAGCAATGTTGAGAAACATTTTCCACAATGCAGGGAAAAGAATGTGGATCAATCACAAACTCAAAGAACTTCACAGAGTCTTATAATGCTTTCTATTTCTTTTGTGATGCTTTTTTTTTGTGATAAGCTTCTTTTCCCCCCCAACTGTGCATCGCCTTATGCTCAATATACTCTGGCTTCTTAACATCAAGTTACAGGATTGGTAAAACTGTCTTGAATGCAGAGATTCTCTTGAAGTATTCATCACTTAATTATTCTCTATTGATAAACTTATCACAACCAAGTTGTTCTATCAGAGGATTGATAACTTCAGATGCAGTCAGAGCTACAGTAAATGTTAAAATATCAAAATCCATCCTCCGAGGATTACGCAGATATTGGGCATCAAACGCTGCTTCCCTTGCTCTGCAGGCTTCCACAAATCGCCTGCGGCGTTCTTCAAGCTCCTGTATTCTGCCCGGAGCAATAGGGTAATTTTCCAGATATTGGCGGAGAAACTGCTGGTAATTAAGGCCTAAAACGCTAACTGGTGGACGAAGGCGGAGATATGGCAACGCAGCCAGGCTTCCAGCGAGTGCGTGCCTGGACCTGGGCCTGGGCTCAGGAACCTCTTCATCCACTTGCTCCCCAAATAGTCGGGCGACCTCTGCCACCCGGGGATCCCTGGCTGCCGCCGCCGGACTTTCCCTGGCCACCTGGCCTCCCCTGGCCGCCGCCACTGGGCCTCCCCTGGCCGCTGCCATCCGGCCTTCCCTGGCCACCGCCCCTGGGCCCTCCCTGGCCACTGCCACCGGGCCTTCTCGGGCACCCGCCACCGGGCCTTTCTGAGCCGCCGCCACCGGGCCCTCCCTGCCCGCCGCCACTGGGCCTTTCTGAACCGCCGTCACCCGGCCTTTCTGAGCCGCCAGGCCCTCCTTCGCCGCCGCCACCGGGCCCTCCTTCGCCGCCGCCACCGGGCCCTCCTTCGCCGCCGCCACCGGGCCCTCCTTCGCCGCCGCCACCGGGCTTTCCAGAGCCGCCGCCACCGGGCCCTCCTTCGCCGCCGCCACCGGGCTTTCCAGAGCCGCCGCCACCGGGCCCTCCTTCGCCGCCGCCACCGGGCTCTCCTTCGCCGCCGCCACCGGGCTTTCCAGAGCCGCCGCCACCGGGCTCTCCTTCGCCGCCGCCACCGGGCTTTCCAGAGCCGCCGCCACCGGGCCCTCCCGAGCCGCCGCCACCGGGCCCTCCCGAGCCGCCGCCACCGGGCTCTCCTTCGCCGCCGCCACCGGGCTCTCCTTCGCCGCCGCCACCGGGCTCTCCTTCGCCGCCGCCACCGGGCCCTCCTTCGCCGCCGCCACCGGGCCCTCCTGAGCCGCCGCCACCGGGCCCTCCTGAGCCGCCGCCACCGGGCTCTCCTTCGCCGCCGCCACCGGGCTCTCCAGAGCCGCCGCCACCGGGCCCTCCTGAGCCGCCGCCACCGGGCTTTCCAGAGCCGCCGCCACCGGGCTTTCCAGAGCCGCCGCCACTGGGCCCTCCCTCGCCTCCGCCACCGGGCTTTCCAGAGCCGCCGCCACTGGGCCCTCCTGAGCCGCCGCCGCCGGGTCCTCCCGAGCCTCCGTCACCGGGCCCTCCTGAGCCTCCGCCGCCGCCGGGTCCTCCTTCGCCTCCGTCACCGGGCCCTCCTTCGCCTCCGTCACCGGGCCCTCCTTCGCCTCAGTCACCGGGCCCTCCTGAGCCGCCGCCACCGGGCCCTCCTGAGCCGCCGCCACCGGGCCCTCCTTCGCCTCAGTCACCGGGTCCTCCTTCGCCTCCGTCACCGGGCCCTCCTTCGCCTCCGTCACCGGGCCCTCCTTCGCCTCCGTCACCGGGTCCTCCTTCGCCTCCGTCACCGGGCCCTCCTTCGCCTCCGTCACCGGGCCCTCCTGAGCCGCCGCCACCGGGCCCTCCTGAGCCGCCGCCACCGGGCCCTCCTGAGCCGCCGCCACCGGGCCCTCCTGAGCCGCCGTCACCGGGCCCTCCTGAGCCTCAGTCACCGGGCCCTCCTGAGCCGCCGCCACCGGGCCCTCCTGAGCCGCCGCCACCGGGCCCTCCTGAGCCTCAGTCACCGGGCCCTCCTGAGCCTCAGTCACCGGGCCCTCCTGAGCCTCAGTCACCGGGCCCTCCCGAGCCGCCGCCACCGGGCCCTCCTGAGCCGCCGCTACCCGGCCCTGCCTGGCCGCCGCCATCGGGCTTTCCCCGGCCTCCTCAGGCTGCGCTGGGGCCAGCTCCTGGCTCCCGCCGCCTGCCTCCGCCTGCGGGACGTCTTTGTCACTGCTCGCCTCGCCTGTCTGCGGCACAGTGCTGTCTGCGGGCAGCTCGGACATCTTGGACCGCAGGGTCAGCTCTGCGGCTCCCAGGAAACCAGGAACAACGGGACAGCGCGACCGCGCACGTCCACGCAGGCGCGCGTGCCTGAGCGCCGGGCGCACGGGTGCGCGCCGTGTGCACAGCCGCGAGCGCGAGCGTACGGTCTGCGCCGCAACCCGGGAGCACTGCGCATGCGTAACTCCTGCTCCCGCGCCCCTCCAGATGTCGCCGGGAGGCCAGAAGTGCCCAAATCCCAGAACAGCAGAACGTCAAAGGACGGGGCTATAGTTTATGTTTCAACCAGTTTAATGTTTATAAGGAAAGTCATGCAAGATCTTCTCCTTTAGGCATTCCCAAGATTCCATCCTAGGATGCTTCCAAGTTGATCATTGCCTAGATCAATGTCAAGAAGTTTTCCCCTGTGTTCTAGTAATCTTATAGTTTCAGGTTTTATGTTTAAGTCTTTAATCCATTTTGAGTTGATTTTTCTACGTAGTGTAAGATCAGGGTCCCATTTCATTGTTGTGCGTGTGGATATCCAGTTTCCCCAGCACCATTTATTGAAGAGATTGTCCTTTTCCCTTTGCATGTTCTTGGCAACTTTGTCGAAGATCAATTGACCGTAAATGTATGCATTTATTTCTGGGTTCTCTGTTCTGTTCCATTGGTGTATGTGTCCATTTTTATGCCAGTACCATGCTGTTCTGGTTATTAGATCACACTAAGGACTCTGACTCTGAGTAGGATGGTGTGACTAATGAAAGAGAGTGACAAATTCTTTGACACTCTTCCCATTGATAAGTGGTGTCTAATCTCTTTCCTCTTGAAACCTCGCTGGCCTTAGGGAGTCACTTGTAGTCAATAAAATGCAGTGAAAGTGATGTCGGTGACTTCAGAGGCTCAGAAACCTCAATAGAAATTCTCCAAGCTCTTGGAGAGAGTGTTAAGAAGAATTAACCAACACTTGGAAACAAGGCAAAAGGATTCCTGCACGTCCCTTTACTGTCATACTGGACCATTCTCTAATGGACCACCGAAGGGTTAGTTAGCTTTCTGGGGCAACGATGTACAAATAGAACTTTCTGTGATGATAGAAATGTTCTCTGTGTTACCCAATATGGTAGCTATTAGATATTTGTGACTGTTCAGCACTTGAAATGTGACTAGTGTGACTGAGAAACTGAAAATTAAATCTTATTTAATTTTAATTTAAATATAAATTGTCATATGGATAATAGCTACATAGTGAACAGCAAAGCCCTAAGGCAATGAAATGTTGTTTGACTTGCTATTTACTACCGATTAGGCCCAGACTCTGTAAGTTACATGTTAACCTATAGATTTTTGTTTGATAAAGATACAGGTATTTTTGTACAGTTAAAAGATAACCCCAAAGGTTACAGTGTTAATGCCCTGCAGGATATAAACCAATTTTGTGTCCAACCACCAACTCTTACTCTAACATTCCATATTCAGCTTATAATATCCTCAATCCCTCAAATTTTTTTTTTTTTTTTTTTTGAGACAGAGTCTCGCTTTGTTGCCCAGGCTAGAGTGAGTGCCGTGGCATCAGCCTAGCTCACAGCAACCTCAAACTCCTGGGCTCAAGCGATCCTGCTGCCTCAGCCTCCCGAGTAGCAGGGACTACAGGCATGTGCCACCATGCTCGGCTAATTTTTTCTATATATATTAGTTGGCCAATTAATTTATTTCTATTTATAGTAGAGAAGGGGGGTCTCACTCTTGCTCAGGCTGGTTTCGAACTCCTGACCTTGAGCAATCCGCCTGCCTCAGCCTCCCAGAGTCCTAGGATTACAGGCGTGAGCCACCGCACCCGGCCCCCACTGCCTTTAAAATCCAAGCAGCATAGTAATATTTTTCTGCCCCACATGGAGCAACAGGGACTGGATTTACTCCCATAGAAAACAATTGGAAAACTGGACAAAAGCATCTGAAGCAACACTTTTTAAGACTTTGGACATCAGGCAGCAAAGAACAGTGATCTCCAAGAAAGAGGAAATGAGGTGTAAGCTCTAAAATTGCCCCAGGAGGAGGGGGGACAGCACACGTGGAGAAACAAGGACAAGAATGACAGCAACATTGCTTCTTGTTGGAAACAGTGCAAGTCAAAAGTACTGAAAGGAAAAATAAGAAACCTAAAAATCCTGTCACCCTTGTGTTCTAGACGTAGGAAAATAACTTTCAAAGATGAAGGTGAAATGATAACTTTTTTCAGATATGCAAAAGCCGTAGGAAGGCATGACCAGGAGACCTACACTATCAGAAATGGTAAAGAAGTCCCAGACAGAAGAAAAGTGCTACCATGCAAAGAAACGAAGAGCATTGGAAATGGTGATCTGTGGCTAAATGTTTTTTTTTTTTGTTATTATTTAAATCTCTTTAAAAGATAACTGCATATTCGAATTAAAAATACTAGCAAAGTTATGGTTAACCAATAAAATAAAATGTTATTTTAAAAATAATAACAATATATTGTGAGATTTATAACATACATGGCAATACTAGTACAAGGTCTGTGAAGTGAGAAATGGAAATATACTTTTTTTTTTTAATTTCATAACACTTAGATTTGCACCCAGGAAATAGACTTTGATAAATTTTTGATACTGCATGTGAAGTGCTATAAGATTACTGAAGGCTTTTCTTTTTTTTTTTTTTTTGAGACAGAGTCTCGCTTTGTTGCCCAGGCTAGAGTGAGTGCCGTGGCGTCAGCCTAGCTCACAGCAACCTCAAACTCCTGGGCTCAAGCGATCCTCCTGCCTCAGCCTCCCAAGTAGCTGGGACTACAGGCATGCGCCACCATGCCCAGCTAATTTTTTTTTTATATATATTAGTTGGCCAATTAATTTCTTTCTATTTATAGTAGAGACGGGGTCTCGCTCTTGCTCAGGCTGGTTTCGAACTCCCGACCTCGAGCAATCCACCCGCCTCAGCCTCCCAGAGAGCTAGGATTACAGGCGTGAGCCACCGCGCCCGGCCTACTGAAGGCTTTTCTTGGAAAGGGTGGAGAATACCTGGAACTGGGAACCCTGCCCATTTCATGGGGGGGGGTTGCCATGGCATTTGTAAACTGTCATGGCGCTGGTGGGTGTGATTTTTACTATGCTAATGGCGGTAGTTCACTTCAGGACATTGTTACTTTACTTGTACACATGCTCCAAGGACCCTCTTCGGTGGCCTTGTTCATATCTCCACTTTGTGGCCTTTCTACCTCTTTCTGGTTGTTCAGTCCTTGGAGACCCCATATGGTAGACCAAACATCTGTTCAGTCCTTGGAAGCCCCCTCTGGTCAATTTGTTCCTTCTAGTAGACAAAGCATCTTGTAGTGACATCTGCTCCCCAATGGACACCCCCTAGACAAAGCATCTGTTCCCCTTCCTCCTTGTCCCAACCTAACAGGGTATCGCTCTTGCTCAGGCTGGTCTTGAACTCCTGGTCTCAAGCGATCCTCCTGCCTCGGGCTCCCAGAGTGCTGGGATTATAGGTATGAGTCACTGCACCGGGCCCCTCTTTGATTTCTTGATGCCTCCCATGGAACCTCCAGCTCCCTCTTGGTGATGACACCTCCCCTTTTTCCCTTAAAGCAAGAACCAAATCCTGTGAAGTTTGGTGACATTTTAATGACCACGTGTGGGGGAAGGGGTGGGGAGGGATTGCTCTGTAGACAGGCTCCGGGAATCCATGATCACGTGGAAAGAGGGACTCCTTGATAAGGGGGAGTCTGGTCACCTCCCTGGTTAGACGACATTCACTGAGGTCAAGGAGACATCTCTCCACACGTGCACCATCTTCACAGACTCTGGCTTGAGTCGATGGGCAAAGCCAAAATAGTGTTGGCCATTTACCACCACCTACAAAAGGGACAATGTGTCAGAAACACAGCATGCCACCAGACCAGCTTTCAGCCTTCTTTCTCTCTTGAGTAGCCCAGATTTGGGCTAGTGGTGGCAGAGAATGAAACCTGAGTGTTCTTAAAGAGGTAGAATCGTACAGATGTTTCAAAAAAGAGGATATTATTTTTAACAGCTTATAAGCATACGAAAAGATGCCCACCCCATCTAAATCTTAATAAAAAGTCAACCTTTTGGCCCACCCAGTTGCAAAGGAAAGTTTGAACATATGCTTTATTGCTGACGCTTTGGGAAGAAGTCACTTTTAGGTGTTAATTTGTCAAATTGAAAATGCACACACTTTTTGAACCAGTTATTCCATTTCTTTGAAATTATCTTCCAATATAAGTACTGGGGGGTTGATCATGACAAATGATTGTGTAGAAACCCCAATACAGCATCATTTGTGAGAGCAAAATATTGGAGATAATTTAAATGCCCATGAAAAGGGTCAAGTTCACTAATTTGTGGTAATCTTGCCTTTGGAATACTATGCAATCACTACAAAATGAGGCAGCACCATGGACAGATCATTTCTCTAAGATATATTCTTTGACAACGAATAAACTCTACTTCCCACGGTGTAACACATAAAGAAACTTATACCACCATGTGTTTAAAAAGAAGTGACTGCTTGCACAAGCATAGATCATCTGTGGAAGGAACGGAGAAGCTAGTAGTAGTTGTTGTTCTGGAGAGGAGGATTGGGGTTCAGGGGTGAGAGGAAGACTTAATTAGGGGCCGATTAAAATGATTTTATTCATATGCATATTTTAACCATTTAACTACAGGACAGTTTCAATAACAGCACAGGTAGAAATGGTCAGGTTTGGGAAAAGAGCTGAGAAGGGCAGTACAGGCAGGTGTGCTCTGTGACCAAAAGCCTGGGGCAGGAGCAGTTATGGGAGGTGGACCCCAAGGGACCCTCGGGCCAGGCCAGGGGGGTGGCACCTCCTCTGAGAGCCACGGAGGAGGCGCGTGGACGTCCCGGGACCCTCACCTGGTACTCATCGTGCAAGACGAGGATGCGCAGCTCAAACGCTCGGCCCTGGGCGAAGGGCATGTGGGTCAACCTCACCTCGTGCTTCCAGCCCCCCTCCTCAAAGCTGTTCATCACCACATGGCGACCAAAGTACACTCGGAAGTGGAAGGCGATGTCCGACTTGTCGTTTGTCCCAGTGTGGAAATCCACCTGCAGTTGGGGGTCCTTGCTGAGGGGCAAAGCACACAGCCCGTTGGGCGGGTCCCTTCCTTGTGGTGACACACACCCGATGCGCGCCCACATCCTGTCCCACCTCTTCCCCACGGCGGCACAAGGCCTCCCTGGCTGCCACTGTGCTCCGTGTCCCCGGGAGACTGCTTCGGCTCACCCCGCCCTGAGCACTGGGGTGCGCTGTCCCTGAGCCCAAGGCTAAAATTGAGCCGAAGTCACTGAGCTGAATCTATGAGCTGTCCGTCCCTGAAAATTCTATGTCCCCGGCTAAAGTGCCACAACCCCAAGCCCTGAGTGACCTTTTCCCCCAGACCCCCAGGTCCACCTGCCCACAGTCCAGCAATGACAGGTTCGATAAGTTTGATCAACACCTGCACTGTGCCACCGTCATGCCAATTAGACATTGTCACATCACTGGGACATGAGGTGATATCCTAAGCTAATAGTCTCCCGCCTCCTTCACGCCCTCACCCTCGGGCTATACTCACTCGAAAGAGACAGGAGGTGTCCCTTTGATTATCACGCAAGAACCAACAGAGAAGGACACACACTGAGTGTGCGGCACCTGCCATGGGGACGGAGAGTGGGTGAGGGGCGGGGCCAGGTGTGGGCCCCCCTCCTGCGACAGTTTCCAGTGGCCCAGAGGTCGCAGGACACACCCTGGGTCCCCCTTCTCCCCACCCTACCACAATCAGAAGAGACCGGAGGGCTGCAGTTCAGAGCAAGGGCTCATGAGCCAGGCTGCCTGGGTTCAAGGCCTGGGTCTGCCTCTTCCTAGCAGTGAGATCTTAGCCCCATTACATGAACGCTCCCTGCCTCAGTTTCCCCAGGACAAGGAGGAGTATCAGACATTGCTGCTTTGTAGGATGTTCTCAGGAACAGATGGGTTATTCACGTGAAACCTTCGCCCATCACTGGCACGTGTGGGGTCTGCACAGGGTCTATGTGTCCCAACGGGGAGGGGGGGCCCTTATTTCCCACTCCCCGGCCTGGGAAAGCAAGACTTGAAGACGTGAGAGCAAAGTTCACTGCAGTGAGACAACACTTGTTGAAAGAGAGAAGGAAATCGCAGAAGAGGACCTGCGAATGTGAGCATGGTCACAGGCACTGCGTGTCCCGTCGGGACCGTGCACAGACTGTCCAACGCACAGTCCCAGCACCTGCGCAGAGGGTGGGGCCCGGGAAGTGACAGGCTGGGCTGGGGGCAAGGGGACCCTGGGGCAGGGAGGCTCACAGTCGCTGTCACAGGGCGAAGCACAGTCCCACCCCTACCCTCAGCCACCCCTGCCCACCTGGTGGGCTGTCCCCCTCTGCACTGCGTGGCTCTCAGTCCGACAGCAGCACGTGGGGATACAGGGCCACGCCAGTTCGGGTCCCCATACCGTACCCCACGACGGTCTCAAACATCGCCTCCCCAGGGACTGTCTCTTCCCCACACCCACAACTCTCAGGAAAAGGTTCAAAATAGAAACGCTCATGTTTTCATCCCATAAAAGCTCCCCCTTTTCCTTCCTTTTGTTATGTGACTTGGGGTCACTGAAGGCTGAGCCTTTGCAACCCACCTGTAGACAAGACATCGTTGTCTTCTTGCAGACGGCTCTCCGGAGTTGGGTCTCCTCTTCTGCGAGAATCTCCCGGAGTTGCAGCGAATAAATAACCCCGAGTCCCACCCCCAGCCCTCCCCGAAGGGTGAGCAGGGGTGTGGTGTCAGACGGGGACAGGCAGGGTGAGCAGGGGTAGGGTGTCAGATGGGGACCCAGGCCTGTGTCTGGGAGGCAGCGGCAACGCCCGTGGGGGTGGGCGGGGCAGGGAGGAAGGAGGGGAGGGGAAGGGCACAGATGGGGTGAGGGTTGAGCAGGGACAATGTCCAGCCTCCATGCCTCTCAGGTGGCCTGTTCCCCACAGTGCAAAATCCACCAGGTGCACATTTTTATGACTTGCACGGTGGCAAAGAAGTGGTGGTCCCCAGGAATCTGGAGAGAGAGGCAGAGAAGTCCTATGCCATCTCAACCGCACCCAGGCCCCTTGGCTCTGCCAGGACAGGGCCCCACACTCTGTCCCCCACACTGGGCTCTAGCCGCACCCTGTCCTTTCTCTCTGGGCAGCCAGGTGCACCGAAATCTCAGAGACCCTGCTTCTCCCACAGTTCCTGGCAGAAGGGTGACATGCTTAAGTTCTAGTCCTTGATTTGTGTGCTCCTTGTTTGCAGACCTGTCTGAGGACAGGCACAGGTCCAGGTCGTGTGACCACAGCCTCAGGCGTGGAGGACTGAGGACCCATCCTCCACTCCTCCTTTTGGGATGAGAGGAAACATCCCTAAAACCTGAATTGGGAATTTAAAGAGAAATGAATTCGATTTCTCCCCCCTCCCTCCCTCCCTTCCCTGTGCCATCCCTCTCTCTCTCTCTCTTTCTCTCTTCAGTTTTATTGACTGTGAGTTTAAACCTTTTATAGAAAAGTTGATCCAAGTTACCAAACAATGTATATTATGGTAAGTATGTAAGTATTTATTTGAGTTGTTTGGCTAATGTCTTTTTTTTTTTTTTAGGCAGAGTCTCGCTTTGTTGCCCAGGCTAGAGTGAGTGCTGTGGCGTCAGCCTCGCTCACAGCAACCTCAAACTCCTGGGCTCAAGCGATCCTCCTGCCTCAGCCTCCCAAATAGCTGGGACTACAGGCATGCGCCACCATGCCCGGCTAATGTTTTTCTGTATATATTAGTTGGCCAATTAATTTCTTTCTATTTACAGTAGAGACGGGGTCTCACTCTTGCTCAGGCTGGTTTCCAACTCCTGATCTCGAGCAATCCACCCGCCTCGGCCTCCCAGAGTGCTAGGATTACAGACTTGAGGCACCATGCCCAGCCGAATCCATTATTATTATTAACTATACTCATCATCCTCTATATTATGTCTCCAGAACTTATTCATCTTATAATGTTGGGAACTGACTACCTCTCGCCACCCTACCCAACAGAGAGACCGAGACACCGAGGATGCAAACACACAAGAGGAGTTTATTTTCTGGCTAGCCAGGGTCCAAGCCTCGAGCACCAACGCAGTGGCCACTCTGGTAGGCAAGGCCCCCGACTGGCACGGGGGCTTGCTTTTTATCCTCTTGGATGCGGGACACAAGCTGATCGCGCATGGATCATGCATCGACCTTTAAAATGACTGGTCACCTGTTATTGTGCAAGCTAGCACTTGCTGCTTCTGCAAGCAACAGGTTACAGAAGGGGATGTCTGCAGTTAGCCGTTAGCCTTATCAGAGCCTTATCAGGGGCCCCGAGAGGAACTGGAGCAGGGGGCCCCGAGAGGAACTGGCCCCTTACAATAACTGAAAATTGATACCCTTTGTCAAACATCTCTGTTTCCCCCCACTCCCAGCCCCGAATAACCATCATTCTACTTTCTGGTATTGAAATTGATTTTTTTAAAACATTCCACATGTAAGTGAGGTCATGCAATTATTTGTCTCTCTGTGTCTGGCTGATTTATCATAGTGTCCTCCAGGTTTGTCCATGTTGCTGCAAATGGCAGGATATCATTTCTTAGGCTGAATAGAATTTCACTATATCTCACATTATGTATTTTTTTTTTTTTTTGACAGAGTCTCGCTTTGTTGCCCAGGCTAGAGTGAGTGCCGTGGTGTCAGCCTAGCTCACAGCAACCTCAAACTCCTGGGCTCAAGCGATCCTCCTGCCTCAGCCTCCCCAGTACCTGGGACTACAGGCATGTGCCACCATGCCCATTTTTTCTATATATATTGGTTGGCCAATTAATTTCTTTCTATTTATAGTAGAGACGGGGTCTCGCTCTTGCTCAGGCTGGTTTCCAACTCCTGACCTTGAGCAATCCTCCCGCCTCGGCCTCCCAGAGTGCTAGGATTACAGGCGTGAGCCACCGCGCCCGGCCTTCACATGTATTAATCAGATTGTTTTCATTCATTGATGAACACTTAGGTGATTTCCATATCTCATCTCAACTATTGTGACTAGTGTTACAATGAACATGGGAGTACAGATATCTCTTTAAGATACTGATTTCATTTCTTTTGGGTATATACCCAGAATTCAATTTTTTTGAGAAGCCTCCAATCTGTTTTCCATCATGGGTGTACCAATTTACATTCCGACCAACAGTTTACCAGGGTTCCCTTTTCTCCAAATCCTTGTCAACGTTTTTTACCTTTTGACTTTTTGGTAATAGCCATCCTACCAGGCGTGAGGTCATAGCTCATCGTGGTTCTGATTTGCATTTCCCTGATTGTTAGTGATGTTGAATATTTTTTCATATACTTATTGGTCATCTGCATTTCTCCCTTGGAAAATGTCTATTCGGTTCCTTTGCCCGTTCTTAAATTGGGTTTATTTATTTACTTTTTGCTATTGAGTTGCATGAGTTTGTTATATATTTTTGATGTTAACCCCCTTATTGGATGTATGGCTTGCAAATATTTCTCCCATTCTGTAGGCTGCCTTTTTCATTGGTTGATTTCATTTGTTCATGTGTTTATTGTTCTTTTCTGTGCAAAGAGCATCTCTTGGGAACGTTGGCAACAAGGATAGCTCTGTGGAGAAGATCTTATTCTGTTGGGGGCTCCAGAGTAGACAGGATAGAGTGGGGACAGCTAAACATATTGTGACTAAAAGACTTTAAGACCCATGAATGAAAAAGGTTTCATTTTTTTAGCGAGATTCCCCAGAGGCAGGGAAGAGATCAAGACTGGTTGAGGGGTCTGGACAAGTTCCCAGAAGCACTTCAAAGATTTTTTATTGAATCTTGCTCCTGGGACTCTATGTCCTGTGTATGTATCTGGGGCAGCACTTCAAGCCTCCATGAACACAAAGAGGTATCAGAGGTAAAAACGAGTATAACAATTGATCCCCGTGAGGTGGGCTGAGCTGCAGAATGTCATTCCAGGCCTAATAGAAACTACATGTTCATCTACCAGGACCACTTAATCAGTTCCCCAGATGTGCTAAGGAGCTGATGATCTTCTTTCTGGAATACAAACCACGTGGCATTTCTTAGGAATCATCAAGTAATATTTGAAATGATTTGGAGTTATAAAATATGGCTGGTTTATGGATTTCTTCAGAATCTATTAATGGCTTTATGGTTTTATGGCTTTATGATTTTATTATGGTTTTACAACTAAAACAGAAAATGACAACAAAAAGAGATTTTTCAACTGAGTTGAAAAGTTCAGTGGGTATAACAAGTAAGGGAAAGCTCTGGAGAACAAATGCCCAGTGGAGTGTAACAGTGTTTAGTAGCTGAGATACGCTCTGTTCTGATGAAAATCTACGAGAAAATTTTGCAACCCATGATTCAAACACCAATGGAAATATCTGCAATATACCAAAAAAAGCACCACAAAATAATGCAAGGTCCTGAAATGTTCCAAGAGAGTATGAGTAATATAGGAATAAGCTAAATCACAGAAGAAATAAAAACGATCAGTGGCAGAAAGCATGCATTAACTCACTAGAAATGAGGAACGTGTGCACGTTATCAAGGATTATAATAATTTCACATAACATGAAGGCAAAAGATGAATCATTTGCCATTTTGGAGGTGACCTACGTATTGAGTACCATTGAAGAATACTGGTGGGAGAACAAAATTTGTACAGCGTGCTTTGGAGGGTGGAGAATCAGCCAACACTCATATTGCTCCAGTAAGAGCTTCAAGCATGTCCATCCCCCAAACATTGCACATCTTACTCATTGTGGTTGTATATACCCATCCCTTCCTCCCCCCTCCCACCCTCCCGACACCCGATAAATGTTACTCCTATATGTCCACTTAGGTGTTGATCCGTTCATGCCAATTTGCTGGGGAGTACATGTGGTGCTTTT